GATAAACTTGTCTTTTTAACAATCAGAGCACATAATTATGCATGAATTATTTTTTCTACTCTGCTTTTTTAAAATTGCTATTCACTGAAATGTCAACAACTCACAGGGACAAGGTTAATGAACACTAATCTAGCTGCAAATAATTAATCTTTTCTTCCTTTCAATTTCTAGGATATTTAAAATAATTTTGGCTAGAATCAAAGAATGGCTTTCAGAAGATTTTGCATGACATCTTAGCCTGTGCTTAAAACTGAAGATTCGAAGACTTATGTCCGGTGCATCTAGTTTTTCGACTCAGAAGGTACTTACTACTTTAACAGTTGTGATACATAGAAAAACTATCGCTAAGAACTGTCCAACTTTTTCTTGAGCTCCTAACTATAGAAAGGCACAGAAGATATGGTGAAGTCAAGACTGAGGAAAATAAGACATGGCCTGTCCTTGAGAATCTCAGTTTAGTTATCTCCCAATAGAAAAATGAAAAACTATTGCAATTTGACTCTTCTCTCAAAAAACTCATTCACAATTTGCATTATTATCTTTTTATCTTTGTAAGTTTTCCTTAATACTTTGTAAATTCTTTGAATTACCCATCTTCACACAATAAGAGTAAAAAATGACAAAAGCAGACCCTTACTGAATATTTAACAATATCCCAGGCACTGAACTAAATGTTTTATAAGTAATTTCCATGAATTTCCATATCTTAAAAAAAATATTTCTATTCTAACTTGTCAAAATGCTGACATCTGGCTCATCAATCTGTACAACAAGATGTATCGCAATGCTCCCTCACCAAAAAAAGGAAGAATGCAGGTTTACTCCTAACATCACATTGACTAGATAAGGTATATAAACTAGATAAGGTGTATAAACTCTTCAGAATATACTAGTGACTATAAGTTACAGTTGCAGACAAGACTGCTTTAGTTGTTCAAACACAATGTATATTAAGCAATATTCCACTCGGTGCTATGAGACCTTCTTGGAAGGGTCACCAACTTCAACTATGTTTTATAGAACTCCAGACAGGTGGTAAACAAAAAAATTGCAATTTACTGAGACCCTTCTATATATCAGATAATTTACACAAAATGTATTATTTATCATCACAATAACCTTGTAGATATTATAATTCATTTTACAGAGAAGAAAACAAGCTCAGAGAAGCTGAGAAATTTTAACTGGCCCCAAATCACAGAGCTAGTAAGTAAGTGGCAAAACCAGGAGAGTAAACTCTAAATTTTCTAGTGAGCCACAAAGCCACTTTCTGAAGTAATAACCATAGGAAATCACGATTAATTGAGACTCTGTAATTCTTAAGTACAAGCATAATCCTTGTTCCCAAGTTATGAAATGTATTCTTAATCAAAGAAAAAATGTATGGGATAGTTTCTGTTTTTAAAAGCAAGGAAAATATCCATTATGCAGCTTTTAAAAGAGCAAATATACAATGTTAATTCCCCAAGAGCCTTTTGTGGATTTTTTTTTTTCACACAGTAGTTTTTTTCTCCCAGACACAGTACATTTTACTTACTTATTATGCCTTCCACTACAAAATGTAAACTAAGAGGACAGAAATTTTGTCTGTCTTCTTGAAAGTCCCTAGCACATAGTAGGTGCTCAATAAATATTTCGGAAATTAATTAAAGCTGGGTACCCAAAAGGCATTCTGTAAATACTAGTTTCTCTTTCTTTTACTATGTAGGAAACACTAAAAAGGTTAATATTAAGATATTAAAGGTCAAAAGAAATAGATGATTATAAATATAACTGAATTTTTTAAAGTTTTACATTAAGAATGTTAAGAGGCAAATCAGTAACACATTCAGCAAAGCCTCATTTATCAAGCATCATCAGGAAATAAGAGAGTCTACATAAATACATTTTGAACAAATGCACTTTTAAGTGCCAAAACTTTAATCAATTTTCATAGACATCTTTTACTGATATATATCTATGACTTTACTTTGTAGCAATTCTGATTTGATCTCCTTCTGAAACATCCACTTGTTAGCTGACCCTTCTTCCAGTGCTTTTAACAGTAATTCATTCTCTTCCTGAGGACTAAGAAATTAGAAACTAAGCATATGCTGTAAAATAAGTCAAAAAATCCAACTGAAAAGTCTAAGTGAAATGTATAACTTTAATGTAGCCAGCTAGAAGTAGTAAGTACTACTTAATGCTAAACATGGTGTTCTGAGGGATGGAATACTTAGTAAAGAAAAAGACAGCCATTCTTAATCTCTGACTCTATCAAGATCATAGTCAAGTTCAGTGTATAACTAAAGAGGATATAGAAACTACAGTACTGGCTACCCCTAAGAGTACTTACTCAGGTTTTTTAGCTGTCAGAGTAAGTAAGTGTCCTTGCTTTTTAGGATCAGAATCACAAAAAATGTAATGTTAAAATACAGTAAGTATTTTGGAAATATGATCCAGAGATAAATAAATATGAACACATATATATTAAAATTTCATACAATTTCGATGTCTCCAAATCCTTACCATCTAAATACAGAGAATTTCATATGAGATGACATATACAGTCAGGGTCTACCAAAAGATCCAGAGCAGATCTCTCTAGCACAGTTCAGCATGATCACTTTCCTATACTTGGCAGCCATCACTACCCACATCTCCAAATTCCTAGCTGCCTAAAACTGTTCATCTAATCCTTTACCCAGTATCTTATCCCCTATCTTCTCCTGCTTATTACTGTTTTGCCCCAATCTTCACATTTGCCTCTGTTATTACCTTATTTATAATCCATTTTTGGAGAGTCCCAATCTTAGATGGATCAAATAAAGATGACATAAGTGAAACATGGAAAAAGTACTACTACTGTTCTCTGGGTCATGGGAGCCTGGTCAGGTAGAGATGTGATGGAATCGTAGCTTTTTTGAATTACAGTTTTATTTATGAACTTTACATAGTGTAAAGGTTATTAGGAACTTTTTAAAAAACATCTATAACAAGACAAAAATTCTCTTTTAAAGTATGTTGATGATCCTTAAGATATAAACTTTTAGTCTTGATCAGTTTATATAAAAATGCTGTTTTAGAAAATTTGGACATTCCTCACAGACTTTTCTGGCATGAAACTCATGTCAGTTTCGTGTAAATGGTCTACATTACACCCATTTTTCAAAATGCAGTATGTTCATAAGTATGTATGTACATTTCATCCTAAACAGTTTTTTAATAAAAGAATTTTCCTTACAAGGAAAACTACAGAAGTAGAATAAACTTTCATTTCTATTAAGACATACAAGACTAATCATGTTAAGTCACTTACCCAAGTGTAATGTGTAATAAAGAAGTGATACTCAAAAATGGCATAACTGAGGATTTGGGTAGTACCTACTTAATACAGAGTTTAAAAACCTCCATATGTCATGAGATATAATAATTGGTATGCAAGTCTTAAGCAATATTCTTAGCTGAAGGCAAGCACTTCTTTCCACTAAAGAGAGGACCAAATGTAGGTACCATTTCAATCAAATGGGACTGATTCAAGTTAAAATTTTTCGGGAAATCTGTATCAGATGAGACTCTGATCATTTACCCATTTCTTAACGAATTACGAAAGCACAGGTTCCACTATGACAGTTAACTAAAGAGAGTTGAAAGGCTACATTTCAACAGTGTCCTTTGGGAATACTTTTAAACTCAGGAAAAGTTATTCCATGCACCCAAGAGAAAAATGAAATAATGGAGCATATTCAGTGGATGACTTATTCATCTAATTCATGCATTCAACTTTCAGTTGATCCTTTAAAGATTTAAATCTTAAGTACCCTCTATTAAAAACTGAGATTTTAAAGGGGGGGGGGGAAACCCCAACGAAGCTCTGAATCACTGGAATTTTTGTTCTATTTCCTGTTAACACACTGATAGTACCATCCTCAATATATTCGTCCCACACACGTTTTTAAAAAGCTATAGAATCCTTTTAAAACTAACTTGGCCCTATTTTAACTTGTAGCTTATTTATCTGACAATTCCTCCTATTGTTTCTAATTGTTCAGCCAAGGCATATAATAAGATGAAAACATGTTTTCCTTTATCAGAGAATGGTTTGAAAATCTAAAGTCTCAAACTGTCATCGCTTAAAATCAATCACAATTTCACTGTTACAAAAAGCTTAAAGGTATTTTTTAAAGGTGTCAACACTCTGCTACTGTACCAAGAGTGTGTGGTAAGCAGCAGTAACGTAAAAACTGAAAGCAAAAATTCTATTCCATGCCCACCCAAATTCCCGGCCAATCTGAAATTGCATAATGAGCAACATACTCTTCTGAGTGAGCTAAAGCACAAACCAATCCTTTTTATAAAAAGTGAATCAACCTGACCCTAAAATTCGACACTTTGCAAACTTACCTAAAACAGACAAAATGGATGCAAAATTATACTGCTTCACTGTTGCTTTGAATACAACCATAGTGTTCAAGAACTTTCCAATGAATAAAGGCACTGAAAACAGCCTCGCGCTGGGGACTAGAATTTCATGAACTTGAGAAACTCCTGTGAAGCTGCAAATTCCCTCCACTCTCCTGGAAACCCCTCTTATCAGAAACATTTGAAGAATTTCTCCGCAACAATTAAGCTGCCTTGAAGAATGGAAACCTAACATCTCAAATATACTATATATGGAATGAAACACGGCCAAACACATAAATACAAACTCACACGATCTATGACACTTTGGTACACAACTCCGCCGGAGCAATCCCCACAGCATCAGTAACCGAAAGATACACCTGTCACCTGTTCAGCAATACCAAGACCCTCTCAGCCTTCCTGACAAAACCACAATCTTAGGGTTTGAGGTTGATTGAACAGAAAACAAGAATTATCCTGTGAAATCTAAGGGGCCACATTATCACAGCAGGGCTTGCTCCCCACTTTAAGAAGGCTGCAGAAAACCAGCATTAGAAAGGGAACAACCTTCTCCCCCTAGACCCCGAGAGAACTCTCTCGGTCTCTCGCTGCAGTACCTTGCCTCTAAGTCATCTTTATCCGGACCACGGCTCCCCAGAAAGGAGTTTTCCTTCCTTCACCCCGATCTCACACATGCCCCAGGGGCGGACCGGGGGCACCCGGGCAGGCAGGGGCCCTCCCCACCCCCTGGCACCCTCCCCCACCCGGGGCTGTCCCCGGCGCCCGACTCCAATGAGTCTCCCCCTCCCCCTACACACAAACTCCCGGGAGCCCGGGCCCGGCCCAGTGCTCCCCACCCCCACCCGGTCTGGAGGACTTGGGGGGCCTCCCTCTTCGCCTCGCCACTGGGGGAAGGAAGGAGGCGGAGGGAGGAAGAGTGAGAGGAAGAAGCGGACGCCCCGCAATGGCCTTGCAAATCGGCAGAGCCCCTTCCAGACGAAGGGGGGTGCGGGGAGCCGAGGGGAGAGCCGGGGCTGCGGATCCCGCCGAGGCCCGGCTGCGCTGTCCGCTTACCCTTCGTCGCCGCCGCTTCCCCCTCCTCCTCCTCG